GCTTTTCAAGAATATGACTTTCAACCAATTGATGTTGAAATTTTGTTTAGTTTTCTTCTCATCGAGAACAGTGTTTAGATTCATGACGAATCCCTTTGTGGAGTCCTTCGACAGTCTTGCAGAGGGCAAGGATAGTTTATCACAGCCCACAAAGGTATGTGCACAGTTTTAAGTTGGTTAGGATGAATATATCAGTTGAATTGGGTTCGGTGGAAGTATATCCATCTGAAATCATGGCGATTGTAAATTAGCTCACGTAGTATTCTAGAGTATGAAGGGTCTACGAATTATTTTGTAAGTTGAAGGGTCTCTCAAAAACATATTGCCTGCATTTTAGCCAACGTTAGTTATCAGTGGACCACAAATGTGTGCGTACTGCACCAATGTCTTGCTGGTGGTGTGAGTCTTTTTGCAGATTTGTGACCCCCAACGGTATAGTTGAACTGGCATGCCTCATGTAAAATGTTGTTATCTGAAAAATATTTTTATCGTCTTACGTCATAGTCTCATCCTTTTGTTTTTTTTCGCCCAATCAATTTGACTGATCTGTTATACTTTGTAAAAGCCATTAAATAACAAATAAAATCCTGCTAGTGAGATGGCTCAAATGAGATGGGAGTCAGTATAATGTAATCTACAAGAGGCTGTATGCAGCAGCATGAACCAGATCCATGACGTAAAATTCATCACTCCTCATTCGTTCTCCTTGACCGTGACAAAACTCATGGGACATCGGTAATTTCATACACTGCATCCTAGTCCAAAACGTTTGTTCAAAATTCATAAGGATCAGCAGTTGCCGTAACGGCTGCCCTACGAATGCCATGGTCGGTCAAAGAAGTTATATTATGAGTCTAAACGACGTAAATTCAGTTCAGGAAGAAACATGGAAACTTGGTGAAGGTGCAAGAAAAATAAAAACTACAATAAAATACAAATATTACCAACTCAAATGGAATCAAAACGACTAACAAAATGTACAGACTGCAAGTGTGTACATGGAGGGGTTTTCATGCACAAAGCATTCAAAATGGATCTTAAACCCTAAGTTTTGGGAAAAACGAAACTACTGAGAATAGAAACCTTACATTCAGAGTAAGACAAAAGATTATTGCCACCGGAAAGTTATATATTAAAAGATCACGGCGCACACATATTTATACGAATGGTGTCAACTTTTACAGTGTTTAGTGTTAGATCCGTTTTGAATGTTTTTTTGTGTGTGAAAATCCCCTCATGTTTATACTTGCACTTTGTTCCTATTGATCTCCTTAGTTGTACATTGTTAGCTTTTTGAGTACATCTGAATTGTTAATATTTGTATTTTTTATTATAGTTTTTGTTTTTCTTACGCCTTCACTAAGTTTTGTGTTTCTTCCCGAACTGCACCTATGTTGTTTTACTTCATACTTGCTCTTGGCAGCAGCCATATTGATTTGCTCCTCCTTTTGTGTGTTCTATCCAGTCAGGATAGAATAGCGTTCATTTGTTGTGACTGATTTGATTGATTGAGAAATGATTGGTTGAATAGCCAGGTGGTAATATTTGTTTAGGTAACGTTTTACATTTAAATTTATGATGAATTACAGAACCGTCATTTACCCGACTACTTGTTTTGATTTTGACGAGCAAGGGCACGTTTCTAACGTACCTGGACGACTATTCATCTGTCCAAACCATAGTTTGGATTTTACATTCAGAGTTACATGACTTTTGAATGCCCTATTAGTACTATATCGCCTCGTCCAAAATATTTCCTCATCTCGTTTTTTTCCTTTTACTTATCACTATGTTTGCCCTGAAGAGACACTTATGCTAGTGTTTTACACCTGAATTTATGTGCTATTGTTAAACGCCAAACCTATCACAACAGCTCTTCTCAAAAAGGCTTTATTGTTTGTTATATATTCTATGTTATGTTACGTTATGTTATATATTCTATGCCCCGATATTTTTTAATAGATCAAACCAAAATTTCAGTGGAAGTAGCTGCTACGTACAGAGCAAAGATGAGGCATGTTCTGTATCAATTATCTACATAGACGATCAAACTGTTTTACTTATCTTTACTATCAATAAAAATACATTACCAACCCCCAGGAATCCAAGATTAACCATTTGGTGCAGTAGGATTAACAATGTTTATTTCCAGCCAACAAGGAACGTGTTGTTTTTACAAGCACAGTCGATGGTATGTGAAACTTTGCAAAATCAATATTAACTCAATAGGGTTGTTAAAAAGAACACTGAAAGGCTCCAAAAGAAGCTATAGACCAGCTGTATTTTACAGGATATTGCTTTTGCTGAATTATAATTCGATGATTTGGATGTGACCTTCAGACGCCCTATTAACTCGTCTGTGGGTGAAGTCATCTGTCTTGCGGGAAAACACCCAGTGTCAGACTCATCGCAACTTTACAATAAGCTGGCTGGTGATAAACATTAAGAGTCTTGTTCAAATGGTCTTGAAAATTTGGTCTACTTGACGTAGTAATCTATCACTGCTTTGGAAGTTTAGAAGTTTCTTCTTAGTGTTGTTTAATATTCACTCACAGAAACTAAAGTGGTTTAAATGAGTTTCTAAGAGGAATCCTGCTCGATGTTTATAGATGACCGACTGGGTATTGCCACGACGAACTGATTAGCCATATTCGCCTCACTCGTACAAATGTAATATCCCCTATCTGGATATCCATGGCATCTTTGGATGACAGTCATAAGCTGTAATCCACACGATTGTTTCAAAATGTGGCTGCTTCATCTGAGATCCATTTTACAAAGTTGCAGCGGACTATTTTAATTGGTCTATTCAAGTCTGCAGTGCACCGACTGTTAGATCTATACATCTATGCAGGTTCAGCCTCTAACGCTGATGATGCTTTCTGTTAGTTCTAAATCTTTTCCTGAGCCTAAAAAAATTATTAAAAAAATTAGTACGATACTAGTTTTCAGACCGATAGTTACGATGCAAGAAACAGAAAAAAATCGGTCTTCAGCAATAAGGATAGTAAGTTGGTGCACCTGTGGTAATCCTTCCAGATTGCTTTATAATGAAGGTTCAGATCCTCCCCGAAAATGTCCACTGATGAAGTCGATACCACTTGTTCGAGAAAGAACTTTTAGCTAATAACTACCCGATGAAAAGAACGGAACCCCAATCTCTTTTTATAAAATCGCTATTTCTTTACCTCGTTGTTATAGCTTTGGAGATAATTAGTACTGGATGGAGCAAAAAGATAGCGCATACTAACACCTAAATCGTTATTCAAGATATGGAATCCCAATCTACGGTCCCCTCATTTTTCTACGACACAGTAGGGAGAAGAGGACCGGGCGTTTTAAACGCCCATTGTAAAGGAATTTGGAAAGACCATTCACTAACTGTGTTCCCACATGTTCAACATGCTCAAGTATATTACTATCTTCATCAAAACATGGACTGGCTTCTTGAGCATCGAATAATGATTGACAGTCGGCCTCTGTTAAAACATCCACCTGAAGTTGCAAGCTCCATCTGGTTGATATACAGCCCACTGAAATCTCCGACGACGAGGCAATTATCGACCTAACTCTGAAAACAGATATGACTGAAGGAGAAGCCGTCAACAAGACAGTGTGAACTACGGCTTTTTACTTCTACAGTCACTAACCCACAACCATACAACAAGCTACCTAGTATGTGCCACAATCATGCGCCTCTGATATGCTCGACTGTACGGGAAAGTGATCTCTGAAGTATAGTATTATACCTTTACCCTTACACTTTATAACTATATCATTTCTAATACAGATGTAACGTTCAATGGTTGGACAACAGTCTATATCTACAATGAGCCACTTTTTCGTGACAACAATTATATCGAAACCTAATTAACTATGATGATTAGAAGTGTTCGAATTATTGTATGAACTAGGAATCACTGGAACAGTGCAATTTATGCCAAACACAACTAGGTGAGCACAAGCGAACGAATTGTATTTAGAAGTCGAACTCAACCACAAATCAAGTACAAAATAATAATTAGTTCATACAAACACCACATTCACTTATCGTCAGACCAAACTCGGACATTTTATTTCTAAGACTACAAGCATTTTCGTAGCGTACATTTAAGATGTTTCGAGAACCACTCAATCTGCCCTTACAAATCTCGGAATCATTGACATCCATGAACTGACTACTCAAAAACCGTGGATCTTAAGATTTGTTTCGTCATCTTGCCTCCGAGTTTTTAACTCGGTAGAGATATTCTTCTACTTGATTTGATTCTCAAGTGACCAATCTAGTCAGATACTAATACATAGATAGCGAATTTTGTGTGCGTTATTTTCTATAATGTCCCCTTCGTCGTAACTTCCGAGTACTAACTTCAAAATCATTCTTCATGGAGTTTCACTTCATTCCGCTTTCTGAGTCCTATTACTTCAGTAATATGTACTCCTGAAACTCCTTGTTGTATACTTCTGATAGCAGATCCTACTAACTCCAAATCGTGTTCGTGCCCTTGGGTAGGGTCGTTTACTCTTGACTCCTCCAGATTCCAAATAATAAAACCGGTAAAACATTTGACTTCTTTGAAAACCGTATTCAAAGCTCTCAATTGCGTTGCCATTTCTTGACTATGAACTTATGAAAGCTTTTCTTTAGCTTCTTTTGGATCCGAGCGGTTTGATTTGAGAAAATTACTCATTATAATATACGAGTAGATCAAACTTTCCAACCACAATAGGATTAAGTCTAGTCTTGCTTCGGGACTTTGATGGAGTATTCTGTGACTTGGATTTTCTGTCTACCACAGACTTAACAAGCGAATGGCGTTGTTTGTGGCCACTTTCCAATCCTTGTTTGTTTTTAAAGGCACACATAAATATGCACTAAGAAATGTTGAGACGGAAATTGTGTTTTTTGAAGTGACTCTCAGGATTTTAATACATCAGCAGAATACCTTGACATCCGGACTCTGAAAGACTACGCAAACCCACACACTTTTAACTGACCTCTAGCACTTCAAATGAGGAATGTCCGCGTGAATCTGACTACTCAAGGTTGTTGAAATAAAAGAGGGTTGGGTTTAATTGCATGGGATTAAAGTGGGCTTGATAAGTAAGTCTTGTGTTTTCTTGTCTACTTACTTCCACTGCCACGCATATATATTTTGTCACATTTTGATTGTGCTTCGTACTCAAATTTAGGTTTAAAAATGTCTCAGCTGAGATTTTTTAGAGTAGTAGATACAGTGGTATCATATCCCTATATGGAGTGTTTTTTCCTACTGCCATTGGAGTAATTGCTTCTGTGAACTTATTGTTCATCTTGTGTTAATGAGGTATGGCAACTTGAACTGATGCATATATATGTCTGGTTCTACGTTGTAGCTGACTGCCTGACTCAACTATCTACTAGGAAGCTTCATGTTATTAGTGAAATGTATTTATTGTGAAACGTCAAGCATGATGTAATACAAACACCAAAGAGCTTAGATTTCTATTTCATGAAATCTTAAGGCATTCAAATTGAATTTAAAGGATGTAAGACCGCGGATAGATAATTCATTCGCGGCTCAGTTTTTATTCATTTATTTTAACACATAGATATTGGAACAAGGAGGCACCGAATACATATAAGCCACACAAGTCACTTGGTTTGTTAGTAAGCTGTGATACTGCCCGGGTGCCCAAACCGAATCAGGTGGTTTTCTTAGGGGGACACACCCGGAGCCTTCGACCTGAAGGTCTGATCCACAAGGCAGTGGAGCATCGTAAGGAGATGCAGTCCCATGGTAGCCGGTGACCAACGATTGGTTCATAGGCCATTTGTTACTTCAGGATACTGGAGCCCATGTGCACCACTGGTTTGAAATCAGGGTTTTTCCAACTCCCCATAGGTGTGTACAAGATGTGAACTACTGGCTGATGCATAAATAAATCTTCAATCTTACACTTCCTGAGTCAATCCATATCAGTCTTTTTCTATTTATTCAAGTAGAAAGAAACTAGCGTCCGCAGAATACTTATACTCTACTCGTTTCTATTGTCCTCCGTGTCGAGGTAATTTAATCTATTCAGCACTATTGTTTGTTATGAAGCATCTGGTACAGGTATTTTGTCGACTTTCAGCTGTTACATGATAAAGTAAAATTTTGTACCATTTATTAGGACTTGATTGCTACATAGAGTTTTTAGCACCTGTAATCTTTTAAGCTATGTGTGATTACTGGTTATTCTTTACAAAAGATATTTTGTAGGTAAATAAACCATTTGTTATGTTTAGGAATCTAAAATTTACTTATCGTGTTTTCTTTTTCTCTAAATTGTTCAGATTTCTTTGTTCTATTTTGAATTGATTGGACTCATTTTTATCAAGTGTTGTGAACCAGTACATTTTCAGTTACGGTTGTTGACTTCCTAACTACTCTTTACAAAGTATGATAATTGTAATTAACCCTGTTTCATCTCACGTGTTTAGGTTGAGTAATGACAATTTCGTCGATAATAGAGCATAGTAGCCACATATGTAGCCGATTTCAAATCACGTCTAATTCATTCAGCTTTAATCGTCAATATACCCAGATCTATTTGGCACGTCTTACTGCAGCCAAGGCAGTGTTGAAAACGTTGGCTGAACAGAGATGGTCAACTTCATCTACAAAATCTGAGGCATCGCATTTCCCCGTTCGAACATTAGCTGACCTAAATGGAGATGAAAAATGCATAATAATCGGCACACTTTTCAAGGTACAAGTTTGCTTTCGAAAATTCCTACCATTATTTATTGTGCTTTAGAAGCGTAGATCTTTCATTATAACTTCTCTTGATGTTATTTTTATACAAAGTATTCATTGATTATTTCCATAAGCGATTTGCGAAGCAATCTAATACTGACCGGAGCAGTAATCAAATACCAGTCAGTCAGCAACAACGTAGAACTTCGTACGTACGTGCATCAATCCCAGTTGCCATACCACATTAGCACAGAGATGCAATTGTCGATTCAGATCCCGTAGTGGTAGAGGTAGTCAAAGTATAAGCTGTAATCAGAAAAATTAGGGTTTGAAGATGTTAATCAAGGAGTATAATACAGTGAAATAAATTTGGAAAGAGAAAAAAGAAAGGGACATGAAGAATTCAGAAGATTAAAATTTGGGAGAACACAAAGAATGGATGCACCTGCGCCATTGCAAACGATTTTGAACCATGTCGTTCAAGGTCCCTAACCATCGGTTGTTATCATCTTGCGGTCCCCAACCAGGTAGTCTACACCTACCAATATGACTCAGTCCACTTGTCAGTGACTTCATGGATTTAATTTAATTTCAAATCAATACTGAAACACTTTGTTTTTTCACTCTAGGAAATGCGTTTAAAACCTAGTGTACTACATGATATTGCAGCGGTAGAAATTGAAAATGTTGAATCAGACATTCGCATTTCTTCAACTGATACTCACTCTTTGGTTCATCTCACATCGGACGATGATTTACTTTTTCTTGAAGATGAAGTACAACGTATTGCTTTGAGTTTTTGTGGTCAGATTTCAAAATTTTGGTCTCCAGCTAATCTGGTTACAGGAGTTGTAGTTGCAGCTCTTGGTTACGAGCCTGAATCTCAACCCGGTAATTTCATAATATGCTCTATATTCATGAATACCTCTACTCATTTTTCATGTTCATGTTCATTCTGATGATCGATGTAAACAAGCACAGAATTTAGTCAAGTGATTTTCAGCACTTATCGGATCACAAACTGGTGAGCACTCTACACATCTTCATGATTGTTATTTAACTAAATGCATAAACCGAAGCAAATTCCTAGTTAACATCTGCAAATCAATTTACACATGTTTTCTAAATTCAACAAATATACTTTATGAGCAAATAAGCTGCGTTTTCAAAGGACAACTCTTAATTCAACATAGTTTCCATGTTTTAGACATAAATTTTCTTCCAACAATGATAGTCATAAAGTTAAATTAGTACTTTGTTTATTTCTTTATTGTTGCCCTAAGATAAAAAAAACAGGTTGTACATTAAGATTCGTAATCGTACATATTCAGGAAGTGTGTTATCAAAATCGAGCTTCATTCCTAGTATAAATATTTTACTCATGTTAGCATTTTACGTTGAGCTACAAAAGATGTTCTTCAACTCTTACAGCTTTGATGAGTATCAGCAATACTCAGCTGACATTATGCATAATTTACTTTTTATTTAGGTTATTTCATTATTAAACATTTGTAGAAACTAATCATACTCATACTTTACATATTGTAAATAACTATTTTACGAAGGCGAAAGTATATGTAATTTCTTCAATGAAACAAGTGATTTTGCGTGATTCAGTTTGTTTATGTAGTGTGAATATATTAACTTATAGTGAATTTTATTTTCGAAATACTTCAGAATGCCATGGAACATAAGTGAATGTTCTTCAAATGTGTGTATTATAACTAAATTGTTTATAAGTAGCTAGAATTTATTCCTTCGCTTGTATTTCACTAATCAATCGTAAACTCTTATTGTTCGACACAATTTTTATCTTTCCGGCCACTATGAACCAATCATTTTTGTACCTGTATGCGTTGAAATTCAACTGCTGTTGTGTTCATTTCTTTGAATTTGAGTTTAACATTTACCGATTATTATTTGTTTTTGGGACTACTTAGTATTTATGCATATTCATCTATAAATATTCCGAGAACCTAAGATAGTCTTTTGATTGAATTGACTTCAGTTGAGTTGTTCCGATAAATCTAACACTCATGTACATGGAGAACATTTTACTGTTTGTGTTAAATACATCTTTTTATAAAGGAGGGGTTATCGATAAACGAGATGCAATGATACAATATGATTGAGTGATAACTGCTCACGAATCTGAATCATTCGCACAAACTTGTGAATGATGTAAGATCAAAAACACGACCGTCAGCTAAAGTAATGGGTTTTTAGTAAAATGACATGCTTTAATCTCATGAACGGCTGGAGAATATCAGTTTTGAAGTGGGTGTGACTATTAGGCTTAATTCCTGCCCATCGTTTCATTTATTTTTTAAATTTTGAGTGAAGTTTAAGATAATATTTTAGCACGAAGTCTTTTTATGGATCAAATTCCACTAATTCTACTCTCTTGAATCACAGAACATGACATCCTAAATAGAAATGAAAACCGTACCCGGAGAAATTCATTCCTGAAACAATTTCATCCTATGTATAATGAAGTATAAACATCAGTAATGAAGTTCCAAAAATAGTGGCAAAGTTGTAACAGCTGCTAAAAACTCCCTTCACTTACAAAACCGTCAACCCATATCGCAACAATTGGAAGTCATACATCAGATCATTCGCGAGTTTTGTCTGTGAACGTAATTGTAGCAATACATGCTTTGTGTACATGAGAACTAGATAGCACTGTGTCTTTCACAGCGTACTCGGGTTTTTAACACCTATTTTGGAAAGTGCTAGAAAAGAGTAACATTTGTGGCATAATAGAATGATGTAAATCTCCTCTCGTCAACAAGCCTTTTTATACACTGTGCTTTTGCCTGTTAGATGAAATGGTCAATAAATATTAGGAATACATCCACGTAACCCTCTTCGTCTCTTGTCATCTCAATAAAAGTAGTAAAAAAGTTCGGACAGCATTAGTGTGAGTGATATAAGAAAAATGTTGGTTGAAAGTTACACTTATATCCATTCAATGTCATTAATAATTTACCACCTAAGTCAATTGTTTCTTAATCTTAGGTTGATTGATACCAGTGCTTAGTATCTAATTACAAAACAGTGGATTATTTAGTGGTCGTGTACTATTTACATAGTGTATGGGCTACAAATATCCTGAGATCTGAATTTTTTACCCAGTTACCTATTAAATCTGTAGATGGATTGGAGTTCGATTACATGAGTCCTTAACTGTCTCAAATTTCCCAACAATAACTTCTGTTTTCGGTCCACTGTATTTGTAGCAAGATAATGCAAACATTTCATTTAATACATTTCAATAAAAACAGTTTACTCATCTTTGTTTTCTTAAGAAATATCAACTCACAGCATAATGTAATTTGATTTCAAAATAATTTAAAATCACTGAAAATACCATTTTTGTTAATAATCACAGGTTCTTTCTACATTGAAGACATGTTATTCTTAGAACCTCAACCTGAAAAACCTATTCATGTTCAAGAAATTTCCCATATTGACGTTAACACAACAGATTTTCGCAACTCTGGACCTTGGGTTGGTGTTGTTAGTGCCTTAGGTTTTGCAGGTAATGGTCAAGTAAAACCGGGACATTCAATAGCTCTTCAACTTCTTGCCGATTGGATACGGTGTGCTGGAGACTTCCATGGTTCATCAGAGTTACACACTGACTCTGGTTTGATACATCTTCTGATTTTGGGTGATTCAATTCAAGCATCAAAATCAAGTATAGATAATGATGGTGATAAGTGCACTCCAGCTGTACGTCTTACACAGCGTGTAAGTTTAAAAAGTCATTTACTTTCATTCGTCATGAAGTACCTTATTTACAAGTCATTCAGGTCGAAATATTTACGAGTTCAAGAATTTTAAAGTGTGGATTACTTTTGAAATAATAACACCAAATTCACTGTACTCATCAGTGAAGACTGATAGTACAGTTAGCTTGGAGTCAGGAATCTTTTATCCTTGTAGCATAAATAACGCAATATATATTCAAATGTTTGGGATTGGATTTTAAAATTAGAATATCTATATGTATTTATTAAAAAATATGAAACAGAATTCGATATGCACTAGCGCGTAATCGGTTATCAAGACAATGTTAACCAGGTATCTTGTAAACGAATATATCGAGACTTAATAATTAGCATAGAACCAATATTAGACGGCCATTTAAAACCAAGAAGCTTCGTACAGCTGTTGCACTCTGGTATGGAACTCTTCAGCAGTGCGCATCCGCGATTTCACTGGGGACCTTCAGATCTTACGGCAAGTACCTAACCTCAGTCACTAAGCCGGCGTCCAACAGTTTGCACGTCTAACTCCAGTAAATACGCAACTATTTTCTATCATTGATGAGAAACTGTCTCTTTCGACATGTTTGAACTCCACTGATCACAGCTTCTCACTGCGACTCTTAAAATTGAACAATATCGCGAGTCAATTGAAGTTAGGAATGTAAACTATCAGATTGCATCTCAATGGTTTAAATATTAGACTCTCAACTAGGGACTTGAAGGCCCTTGGTTTGACCTCCAGTGGTGTCGTAAATGGTTATCGATGTGGATTTCCATTTTAGGACGAAACAGCTGTCTAGTCTTTTTTAGTTTTCAATGGTTGTTCAAAAAATAATCAGTCCATGATGCAAATTATGAACCTTAACTACCTCAATGAATCTGACAAACCTTATGGTAATAATTATCAGATTTCAGGAAATCATAGTTCTTGGGATTTATTTAGGCGGCACTTTTTCCAACTACTCAAGTCTATAAAAGCTCGAAGATAATATAGTTTTTCTGTTAGGTATCTGAAGTGCTCACAAAATAATTCCTTGTAAAACTTTCTATTTAAAGCACTCGCAGATTACTATAATCTTTGTACACGGTTATAGTTTGAAAACATTTTATGTAAATGTATAATGGGGTTGACAAACATTATTTAACCATTGATTTTCGGCATATTGTCCCAGTCACAACATGCTTTTCGTGATGTTTAAAAGTTCTTAGCTGATAAAAGGTGATATGCTAAAAAACCATATCTTTGGTTTTTATGGGTTTTTCCAAGGGATTTTCTTGATGACGATTGCCCATCATCTATTTTCTATTTTCGCTAGTGTAATTACTGCCAGTATGGTAGTACAAGTCACACAGTACTGAATAAATACCGACTAATTTTCCTTGTTTTGGAAATCATAAAGGCATGAAACAAATTGAAATCTAGTCATTTTTGTATGTGTCAGTTTTTGAGTTAATTGTCTTCCTATTCAGGCTCGCTACTTAACTCGTAATGCCGATGCAGAAACTGTGACCGCTATGGCTCGTTTTGATCAGTGGTTAGCCAGTCTCCCTATAGGATCAGGTTGTAAAGATAATGGCACTGATTTTAATGGTATATCGATAGATTTGTTGCCGGGACCATCTGATCCTACTTCAGTCCTCATGCCACAACAACCGATTCATTCAGCCGCCTTACCTTGTGCCGTTTCTCGTTCTGGTGGTGTTGGCAGTGGAAGTTTATGTGGTCGAACAAATCCTTATAGTTTTATGTTGAGAAATCGAAATATTCTAGCTACTTCTGGTCAGGGTGTAAATGAGTTATATAGGTAAGACTTTCCTGTTAGTTGTATAACACACTACTATTCATAAATACGTGTAGGAAACAATTATTTAATTATCAATGATATTAGTGGTTTTTATTCCACATATTTCCAGAAAATAGCTGATATAGTCAACCTCCTCACTTAAGCTTGAAATAATTTACGGGTCTGAATTATGGAAGATAATTGTCCAATTGACAGATTTGAAGAAAAAGGACGTCATAATAATAAAAACTGAATAATAATGAAGAAAACTTGTTTAAGGGTAATAATAAATGAATTGCTTTCTCAAGCCGGTCTACCATTCATGGATGTGTTAAGGATGAACTTCCTTTTTGCACCACATCAATGTGCATCTATAAATTTGCTTGCTTATGTGGGACAGGTTACATTGGCCTCACAAAACGATCACTTTCCAAACGCATCTCAGAGCACCCGATATGGCTTTTAAAAGAAGAATGCAAAATAATTACTAGTTCAATACAGGAGCATTTGTCAACTATGGACACATTGCTCCAAAGGAGTCTTCTTTTAAAATAGTCTACACGTCAAAGGGATTGGATCGAAAGGAGGTCGAATGAAAATCGTATGCATCGCTAAGGCATTGGTAATCCACCAACTCAAGCCCGAACTTTGCGTGCAAAAGCGATACGTCCAACCTCTCATCCTTGTTCGTCCCTAATTCCCTTTTGTAGTTTTTCTCGATTTTTTTCATTTTTTATTTTTATCATTACTATTGATTTTTTTAAGTAGTGTTTTGTAATCGGTTATTATTATCCTTAAACAAGTTTTCTTCATTATGATTATTCAGTTTTTATTATTATGACGTTTGCGTTTGTCCTTTTTCTTCATATCCGTCAATTGGACAATTATCTTCCATAATTCAGACCCATAAATTATTTCCAGTCTTATATTCTTCTCTTATTCCTAAAGTATTTTGTTAAATAAAGAAGGCTAAAACTTGGAATCAATCTAGGTTTTATACTGTTGCGTGTTATAATAGATTCTTTGGTAGTTATGTATGTTTGTTTCGCTCATTACACTACTGAATTAAAGTGATATAATTATGATTTTGAGTAAAATCATTTCTTTCTACAACTGAAATCTGTGCTTTATTTCGTTGTAATAACAAAACTCTGTTATTTGAGTAAATTTGTTGTTCAGTCTATGTACTGATATATTTGTCCAGTCGTTTTCTTTCTTTCTAATATTATCCATCCATAGCCTAGTCCAGTGCAGATTATCAGAATGAACTACTGGTTTATCCAAATTTTGCTTAGACCTAATTCACAATGTTTGGAGTGGTTGTAAAGTGAAATGAAATACAAAAAGTATTGAAAGTAGTATGTTTGGGAAATACGACAGGTGATTCGTTGGAAATTGTGTTGAATTTTAAGACAGTTTAACAGAGAGAGATGATGATTTCTATCCATCGGTCTTTGAGCTAGATTCTCATTTAAGTAATGTTAATTCTACAGGTTTTCTCGATTATTTTTAAACCTCCAGGCTAGTTAGTTAAGACTTATGGTTAAGTATAAAATGCTAAATTAAAAAGCTTTGATCCAGTTCTTAACGTACTGTGTTTTCAATTACCGGACTGTAATTTTTAACTCAGTTTCATGTACCTTGTTTTGGGTTACCATGTATTACCCTCAGCTCATAAAGAAGTGCGGGTAAAAGGAGGCACATAGGTTTGTGCTTGCTTACCAAGTTAACTTAATAACGTACTGTACTTCATTAAAAACTGACTCACCTGATCACCGAATTAAGCGAATTCTGAACCTAGCTGGTACTTGTGAAACAGTGGTTTAGCGGATAAAACACGTGTTTTTCAACCACAGAGCCACAGGTTGAAAACTAAGCTCACCTACCTTAGTTTGGACAGCTAAGTCAGATCATTAGCCCGCATCCAAAAATTATGACTCAAAGTCAGTTGCATGAAGATTATCTTAGTTATGGAAATTATATAGGTAATTTCAGGATTTGTTTTCCAAAATAGTAAATATTTACACCTCCCAGTTATACTAGTGAACAGAGAAAGTTGTCTTTGTACGTTCGTGTAACTATTACGGTCATACTTTTCAGTCGAATTTGTACGTTGTCAACTGGTCAATCGTAATTCAGTTTATTTACTTTGACTTATTTGATTTAAAAATCTATCCTTACTATCGTCTCTGCGATTTCGTACAGTTGGTCAAACTTGCCTTCAGAATTAAGGTGAGTACTATTCTTTGATTTAGGTCGAGAATTAGTGTTTGGGATATATATATATATATATATATATATATATATATATATATATATAATGACTACAGAGCATTTCGAATGCTATTGGGGCTAAAGCTACAAATTAAAAAGGCGATTCCGTTCATTGTTTTCTCTTTTGATGCTGCACTTAATACACTCGGTTATCCAAAGTTTAATAATTTTAAAATTGGATACAATTATTGAGTAAATTTAGCAGACATATTTAATGTGTGAGTGATATTTGAAATGCTAAATATCCAATATTTAACAAAGTATATATAGATTACTAACTAACATGCCTTTCTATATAATCACCTAACTTTATCTTTTAAACAAATGAGATTGGTTGATATTATAGTTTTCATGTAAAAACTATGTTGGGACAAAACAGTCTAAAGAATCATGCTTTAAGCAATATACTATTGTTATTTAACACAGCTCAGAAGACAATTATTAACATCTCAACTAGACTGTTTCTTATATAGTTTAATAGTTAATTGTTTACATTTTTAAACCATGAAATTTGTATTCTGTCATTTACCGCATTAATATTTTTTATTATAAATTTTGTTAGATATACAAAATTAGAGAATGCTTGTGACAGGATGGAAGCTACTTTACTGTGGGGTCACTTAGCTCCTACTTGTCCTGATACTCTTGGAGGGTATCCGATGACCAATGTCGATCCACTTCTTCTCCGTTCATCTTCCACTTCATCTGCTCAAAACTTTAGTCCTGACTATCCTGACATATACATAGCTGGTTGTCAACCTGAAGATCAGCCTTCTTGGCGACGTGCTCGCTTAAAGTGGAGTGAGGAGATAGATAAAAATAACTGTGGTTGCTTATTGGTATCCGTACCACGTTTTGATTCGACTTTCTCTTTCGTACTTATCAACTTAAAATCACTTGATTGTCGTGTAGTTCGCTTTGATTCAAGTTTGTTAGATGAAAATTGATGACAAGAGTATAAATATATCATCTTACTTTTGTATGATTGTTAGCACTTTTTAGTAACCTATGTGTGCTACTAACGCAATATTAGTGTGTTTTGCGATGTTAATTCCTTGCAGTCACCTGGATAATTTTCCGATATATGTTGAGAATTTTTTATGAGTAACCAAAACATCCTACTGAGGCAACCTATACTCTTTCGGTGGTTTCCAAATATATCGATTTTTGCGCAAACCAAAAATTCCACTTAAAGAGAAGCTGAAAGACTTTGGAATAAATATTGAAAGATAATGTCCTGTCACATGACGACGTACTCAATGATTTGTGGCTGTACGACATCTGATATCAGATTACTCACACTGATATGGTAAGCCAATCAGAAATAGCCAGATGAGGTCAATCGATGGTAATACGAAGTGGCCTGAAGGACAATTGCACTCCGCTGGCTAAGAAGTGGATTGGTTCCCTCGATGGTAGAGTTGCATTTATATAAATGAGTATTTGTGCATTTAATTCAGTAGCCCAATTTGCCTTCTTGTCCACTCTTGAGTTTTCATCTAACTAGTTGGAGGGGGTTAGCTCTTAGAAAGTCCTTAATCCGTTTCAGATTCCCATAAACTAGTACGCCTCATGTAACATTGTTATCTGAAGATAAATTATTATTATATAGGTACACCACCTTAGGACTCTTCAAATAATAGCCTAGACTTTAGTGGTCCAGAAATCTTCGCAGGGACCATTTAAGGTGTGAGTAGTAACAGAATGCGCGTTCCGTAAGTGATAATGGGTTACAATCTAGTCAGTAACAAAATGGTTACTAGGAAGTATATGTAGATGTTTGCTCTCGAATGGCGAGCACGATAACTAAGGTCGTCCACCACTCGGATGACGCCACCTGCGAAAGGACTAAGTTTGTCGTGTAACAGCGCTTTTCATTACCTTACCGGCAGCGATTAGGGAGATTGTCATTTTCTTATTCGTAACAGGCTCTTCTACTTCTCTCTGTCTTTCTTGCGTCTCACTTGTTTTGTCGTACTCGTGTTTATGTTGTGTGCGCTTTAGCGTCTCCATCTCTGTGGGAAATGCGATAATCCGAACTAATTTCATTATATTCTGTTTCGCATTATCTCCATCTACCAAGAATTAATGGTCTTTCGTCCAATTTCGTTATCATATTGCGAACAAACCGTTTGCAGAGAGCGAATCTTCTCAGTATTTTGGATCAGGTTTGAATAACTCCCCGTGGATGTTTCGCGTAGCTCTCCCGGAAATAAATGGACTAGAACAAGGTTCTCCTCGCCTGAGTCCGGCCGGGCATTCTCGTTCTAAAAGTTAGTTCCGCGAAACCACTCATTTGGTTTAATGCTATCATCTAATGGCAATCCACACGAAGAATGTTACTTGGAGTTCTGTTTACTTTTAGCATGTCGCCGTTAGCAGTTCGTGAGTCATTGGTGATCTGTCGCTTTCAATCCTGGTTGCGTTTCCTATGCAATGGAGTACGATTAACGAATCCGTCCATTAAGTGACAAAAGATATAGGGACACATAATTGTTGTTCCACGCGTTTTCTAATCTTAGCACAGTACGGCAGTTGTTAATTTCATTCTAGAGATAGTGGTAGGTTTCAGTGGTGCAATCTTGGATTTAGCTAATAGAAGGGAACAGTGAACTTGATGAGAGACATCTTCAAAACGAGTGTACGCCGCAACAGGCATTGGCAAAGTAATGAATAGCCAGATTTTGTCGGCTAATATGCTGTAATACTAATTTAGCTGGTATGACATCTAGGGCTATAAACAGAACCGGGTCGAATGTAGGACCTACGTATCACAAAATGACACTACTGGTAGGGGTTGCTTCGGATTCGCGCACTCTAAAGCAGATCGTATCCTTCCAAACATTGCACTCTACTCCTAGAGCCCTTTCGTTTCTTTCCATAGATAAAGATGTCTGTGTTTCTTTCTCTGGAGTAGGCTCCATTACATCAAAAGTGCTGCTGGCCCATTCGGTCTGATTAAAGCCATCTAGACTTACAATGTTCTTCAACTGAGAATACATTAATTTAGCTTCTTCTAATGCATCAACACTGGCCAATAAATCTTCAACGTAGAATTGTTCCCTTGCTCCCTATATTATACACTCGGGAAACTTAGCCTTGTTATCTAAGATAGACCTGTGTAGAGCAAACATAGCGCAGCTTGGTGAGTAGGTTGCTTCAAACGAATCTACTTTCATCCTATAAGTTTCTGGTTCAGTTCTTCTGTCACCTTGTGGTCACTATAAGGGGCATCTAGATCCTGTGGTGGGACAATCACTTGATGAAACATAACCACAGTATCTACCGTGGGACCTATTGCACGCTGCCAAAATCTGGTGAAGACACTTAGCAGATTATTGACTAAATTCGGTCCATAATACAAGCTTTGACTTAGGGATATCCCGGAGTATTGTGCCGTACAGCTTACTAAGCTTTTTCGAATAAAAGATGCGGTGGTGTGGCAAGTATCTAGCCCAACACCTAATGCAGTTCTCTGTAAACTCGGCGTAGGCCCGTTCAACATATAGTGCCATTAAGCTACTATACTCCTTGTGTAATATCTGCTCACGGATAAGCCGGTTTCTCGAAGAATTTAGTCAACTCATTCCTAGTTTTCTATTATTAAGTAGGCTAAACACAAGACGACTGCGAAAATTGATGTTCAGTATTTAACGCAAGGAAAACCCCAATTATGGGAATGGCGGGAAGATGGAACTGATATAATTTGGATTGATAGGATGGCATGGCTCGGCCTTGCAGGCATGGCCTCTGTTGGATGTTACTTTATATCTTTTATTCATATTACATATATAATCTTATCTCTAGTTTTAGCTTGTTCTCCATCAGGTGTTGGTGATTGTTATGATGCAATGAGTTGGTGTAGATGTTGCAACATCTAAATCATGATGTGACTTCCACGTAAGAACTTATAGATTAGGCAGTTATATCATGAAAAATCTACCATTTTAGGATCAGCCTATTATTCGAGAAGTACTAATAATGAAGCAGACCGTAATCCCACAGGGTAAATTCCTACGTGATGCAGGTAAGGAGGGAACTTCTAGATAGACTTCTTTACAACAAAATGTAAACTGTATCCAGCGTTTTTAATAAAAGTGTCTTGAGCTCTCCCTTTAAAACCAGACTTCTAGCTAAATCCTCTGTAATAATTGAAGCGTCCGTGCTAATGTCTATGAAAGAGCAAGTTTGTACTGCCCTTTCTCTCTATTTTTCCACCAATACAGGTGCTATTTCAAATGGTACTTGTCTTTGTACACACTTAGCAATTTCCTCCATACGGAGTTAGGTATTGGTGTGGATATTACTATTATTTTCTCTCAGCTCTTTTAGTTTCCTATATAACAAGAACTGGTGTCTCCAGTCATATCCTTCGATGGTACATGGCCTCGGTGCGTGGCAGATTCTTGCTATGTGGTTCAAATTCAGACAGATAATTCACAACTTCCTTAGTATAAACTCTATTCTTTCATTAATGCTGTTATCTCCAGACCTTCCTTATTGGTCTAAGGGATGGTTTTCGGTACATAGTAAACATGACAATCCAAGAATGTTTCGTCCTATGTGTGAAGGGACATCAGGTGCAGTCGTGTTGGTGAACGACACTGTCGTTGCATACTATGAGTCAAGTTTTCTTTTAGCAACAACAACCGACTGAATTTGGTTGAGATCACGGGGATCTCCACTGGCAAGTAATCCATCTCTGGTATTAGCAACATCCGATTGTTCTTTCACAAGTTCACAAAGGTCCTTAAATAAATGTTTTCTCATCGTATTAGGACTTTTTCATACAACTTTCACCCATTATCTTTGTGTTAGTGTATTAGGGGTTTCAAAAACATGCTCTCGATATCATTTGTAGAATTCAGACCGGATACACGTCTCATACACCTGCGTCCCACGAGAAAGTCTTCTTAAATTATCTGGATTATTCCCAAATACCAGTAATAATCAGCATCTTATCAATAAATGTACGAGCTACGATATAATTCTGATTGAACGTTTACTCGAGTACCACTTACTCCTTACGATAGCTGTCTTCTGGTTCGGGCAAGGCATAATGAACAATTGTAGCCGTGGCTTTATCATCACATTACTGAATCAGATATTTTTTAATGTAAATCAGCATCTAACACATTGGTCGAAACAGTCTTCAAATTTCCGTATGAAACTCCAAGTTGCAAATGAGGAGACTTAAGACGAGTGAGAACAAATGCTGTTCTCAGCAGTGTCAAACATAGTACAAAACTTTCAGATATTTGTAGTTTTTAGCAAAAACGAAATCATCATTTTAGTTATCCAATCCGCATATAGGGGGTTTTGCCATTTGTCCAATAAGGGAGCTACACGTAGAGATTTGGGAATATTCTTCCTAAAGATGATTGGATGGAATAGCTTCGGGTCTTTCTGAAATTCTCAGAGCCTACTCGACTTCATCCAACGTCTGTTTTCACAACATATTTGTTGTCCAGTCTTTTTCAGGAGGAACTGAGCATGTGGCAGATATAAACTCGTATGACATCACCTTTTCAGCCACAGCCTGACTATAATGTTCTCTAACGCCTTGATATAACCTCCCAAGCTTTATTTCTCTTTCTGTCTGAGCTAAGCGTGCTTTAGCTCATTACAACCCCAACAAAGGTTCAATTCCGTATCCGTCTCCTTCAAACCGCACATCAATTTGAGTTTCTGGATAGTGGGGAGACAACCCAGGAATCTGATTAGTCTTATGGTTTTCCTTCATAGACACTTAACAGCATTCAACTAACGTATTTCTGATGGGTCCCTGGTCGAAACTTTGTAGAATTTAATATACTCTACAGATATCTTACCAGTACTGAAATACAATACTGACGACTCAGAGTCTATGTGAAAGTCATAGTCAGAACAAAAACAACTTAGCTCTAAATGTTATCTCTTTGTAAACGTAAAAACACCCCGATTAGTACAGTAATTAAAAGAATTATGGTCACCAAGTGGATTGCA